GGAAGGCCGACGAATAACCGGGTTGCGATGTCGAATGGTTACAACTTCAGTCATTACAATTATGCTGCGCTGCACACACCTGGGTTGATTAGCAGTTATCTTGTAAACAATATGAAACCTTTGTCTGGATACTACTCTGTGACCCTGTCTTTTTCATGATTGAGCTGGTTATCATTTCCCCCGTACCAAGAGCTAGCCGTAGTGGATTGCGTTCCTTCGTTACCGGGCTAAGTTGCTCGTCGCCCACCACCGTGCAGCAGCTAGGCAATCGGTACATCAACAAATTTCGGATGTGTGCAAGCACTCCGTCTTTGGGACTTATGAACCAGGCTTGGAGTGTTAATTTGGGTAAAACTTTGCTCATTCTGATATAAAGCCGGAATGTTGCCTATAAACGGAAGAAGAATAATGCGACCGGATTTTCTTTCAACCATAGTGATAACAGAATTAGCTTCTTCTCTTTTCAAATAGACTATGATACAATTGCCCAGGAGTGCGTTGTCTCTCGGACAGCTAGGTTTATTCTAGGGCATTTTGTCACTCTGTTAGTAGGGCTGTGGATAACATTACGTTTCTGTTTCAGGGGACCGGAACCGTTAAAGTTTATATTGTTATATTATATTACCTGGTTCACGTAGGCCTTCGCCACAACGATCGGTTTAGTATCGTGACATCTTTCAACTGAGAGGCTTTATTGTTTATTCCTGAGATAATTTGGATGGATGTTTGGGCCTTAACGAACTCTTGTCGAAGAAAGTTCGTCCCTGTATCACTGTTCAAAACTGTAAAATTATTGTCCGTACATTGGCAGCAGCACTATTTTCTCTCTCTAATGGCTTTCGACGGACCATTTCGGGTTTCTTTATGAAAGTGTTAGCCAGCGTCAGGCCCGCTTGTGAGCCAATGGCGACGCGCTGCATTTGACAGTACAGTGTAACATTTACAATGGCTGTGCACTCCATGTGCATCGAAAAGGAAGCTCTTGCAACTTATTCAATGGAAGTGACACCTGAAACTTATTTACCTCCACGTAAGAATATAGGCATTTGACCGTTTTAGTCAACAATAAAGTCATATCGCATGAGCTAGCCTTCAGCCGAAGGGGCTTTATTGAGTCAGTGGATCAAAACGTAACCCTCAAACAGTATGAAGACGTTTATCGACTCACTGTCCCCAGAATTTTTATGAGCTTTTGTGTGATCTTTTGATAAGAAGGCTTTTGCACGTCTACGGTGGGCCTTACTTGGATTCTCAGGTGTCCTGCGCAACTCCGCATTGTAATTAATGTGATAACGCCTCCAAGGGCCTAAACAGCTGACCCCTGCATTGTGCTCTGACAGGGATCTCCATCGGAAATATATATACAATACGAATGGATTTATACAGCTGGAAGCCTGGACTGGCGACAAGTTGTGTTTGGGGCTGGACGTGGTCGATTCAAAGATTTTGGTTGAAACCTTGCTTACACTGGCGAAGCATTGTCATCGTTTGTTTCGTCAGTCACTTCACAGGGGTAGAATTATGTTTGCTTGAACGGAAGTGACTATCACGTCATTCTCCTATTACCCCGCATCTATAGGCCCAAAGGCCTTCCTGACATACCACGCAGGGTAAGGGAACGCACTCTAAAGTGGACCAGCTTAATACACCTCAGCGCTAGCAAACGGATATCCTCAGTGCAACATAAAGCTCCCCGAAACGGTTCTTGCCTAACGAACATGCTCGTAATTATGGACAGCCTGAACAAAGCCAAAGACTAAGGCCTCTAACTGGTCAGAATATTTTTCGACTTCTTTAAAGCATTCATCCAAGTCATACGGGTCCCGTTACTCCAAAAGCCGAAACATCATGGAACTAAAGAATAAATCCCTCTTCGAATAAAGACTTTATCGTATAAAACATTCTGATTAAAAATGGCCTCGGCCGACGCTTTTACGGCACGGGGTTTATTCGAGTTCCTCAGAGCCCTCTTTTGGGACAAATTATGTTCCTGATTTACGTCAGCGATCTTTCAGCTGTGCATTCAGGTCCATGCCCTCTTTCTGCACACGACTTAAAATTCTGGAGTCCCAACACTAGCGCTCTTCACATGCATATGGATGCTGAAAAATGACGGTTTCTGGACCGCAGCCCGCCCCGAAATGACGAAAAGTGTGAGCATGTGTCACTCGGTGAATACCTTTGTCGTGCACTGTGGGGATGGACCAGAAAACATTATGGGGATGGATCCCAAAAAGGATTCGGATATCTGGCTCTCTTCTAACATGTTCTTCTCACGCCACCATGGAAAATCGTCCCAAAAGACGTTCGTCGTTCTACGGATGTTTCGGCGACTCTTACTCCGTGGTACTTACATGGACATCCGGAAACTCTGTGGGGCCTACGTTAAGCAGCTTCTTATTAATAATAATAATAATAATAATAATAATAATAATAATAATAATAATAATAATCGTTTATTCTCAAGTGCCAAAACGAGCTGCCTACTCTGGGAGGAAAGATAGAAGTAACCCTCGTTAAGCACGTCGAACGGGCTGCTACGAAATTGGTTGCCGGCCTTACATCCGTAGATTATGTAACGTGTCTTCTAGTGCCTGACGTTTTTTTCTTGAGTACCGTCAGCCCCAAGGAGGCCCAATACTGAATTTTAACCTTTTTGAACAAGGTACAGCCAACAGGTTTTTCAACGCTGGCCCAACCGAAAAACGGTGGGGACATGGTACGAAGGTATACAAGATCAAATCGTACAATTATATCAGGCAAATGCTTTTCTCATTTTGGTTAGTTGGCGCGTGGGACAAACTTTATCCGATGGTTGTTCACGCTACATCTATCACCCATTTCAAAGTACTTTTGGACGCTTTTTATGTGGATCTTTGCACTGACACGTTTAACGCTACGCGCTGAGAATTGAAAAAAGCGCTATATACTTTTGTCGCTTGTTCGTTTGAGCAAAAATGGACAAACTTGACCAGGGGAGCCTGGGCAAAAGCCTCAAGCCTGTGTATCACCCCGGGGCTCCGTGTACGGCAGCACAACTGCGCGATGACGCTGTCTCCTTGCAAAATGACGAAATCTTTGCAAGCCTATTGCCAGACTCATTCAACGGACAAACTGAAGCCTGATCGATAGTGTAATAAACCACCCCAGCAACCAGTGATAGGATCCGTTGACAGTTTGGGCCATCGGTTTTACTTGTATTCACAAGCAATTGCTGAGCAATTTGCTGTCAGCTGTTTGGATTTCACAAGATAGATATAGTCTCCGAAGCCGAAATACAGCTGCAGAAACAGTTTCCTGCCGTTGGATTTTTGAGTCCGTAACGCTTGTGAACGTTGAAGTGGTGTGCCGACGGGACCGGTTCTATCCAGAAGAGAGGTGTCAGATTCAGAAACCCTTGACATGACTCTTTTGATGTTCAAGATAAAGCAGCGTGGTTTATGCAATGTCACACTTGCAAGGCCTGGTGGCATTTCAAATGCACGGGTTTACAGGACGACCAGATAAGCCAACTAGCTAACTCTCCTGACCCGTTTGTCTGCGCCAGCTGCCTCTACGTCAAGGGTGCGATGCATACCGCAGCAAAGAGGAGAGTCACCCAAAGCGGTACACAATCCCCAGTGCAGATTCACAAAGACCACTGCCAGTGTTCCGCTTTAATCGGGGTACTCGATGCGAAATTAGAGCGTCTTTCAAAGGCACTGGAGGACTCAGGCGCTAAGAATGCAGCGACCTGGACGAAAGTTGACAAGGAACTTTCCTCGCTGAACCAATACCTCGCGATATCCATACCGGGCCTCATGGCTGCGAAGAAAGCCATACAACTTTCTGACGCGTCTATAAAAACCGCCACAGCGTCTCTAGTGGACAGGCGCCTAAGGGAAAACAGACTGATAATCTGGGGGTCATTCTCCGGAAAAATCACGCAGGCGAAGCTGGCACAGTCGATCATTAGCAATGTCCTCACCAAGCCTGATAAATTGCTCCACGCAGAATGGCTACGCCAAAAGGGAAGTAAGCGAACACTTGGACTTATAGTCACTCTTTCTTCCCCATCCGACGTACAGGAGATCTTGGAGCGGGCTGGCAGCATTCAAAAGGCCAACTCAAAATTCAGGCGCCTATCTGAGAATCGTTCTCTAGACGCACGTAAGCTTGGTCATGGCAGGTCAAGAGTAGGAGCACAAAACTGGCTTCCACCGGGCACCAAATCAGACGACCCCAAACTCATGACCAAGTCGATTGTGGTCATATCCCCTGTGCTCCCGGAAGTAGGCCGACGAAACCAGCTGCGTCTCCGGACAGCAGCTTTTATTCGACCGCCACAGGTCTCTCGCCCACCAAGGGAAGGGGCGCCCTGGAGCGGGCAAACCCCACATGCAGGCGGCGCCCAAACTACGTGGAGATATCAGCGCTTATCTCCGTATCAGAGGACACAGCTGCAGTCGTGCACTCCTCAATAAAGTCACAGCCTCTGAACTGGACTGAGTCAGACGTGCGGGGACAAGAAGCGAAGCCAATTTCCAGCTCCACTTCATCAAAAACGGCCTCTCTGCCTGTGGACACAACCGTCGCACAGGACCCCGACACCCAAAGCCATAAACATGACTACAGCCGTCCGGAAAATCCCTCGTACATCCAGGTGGCCACGCTGATCGCTGGCGGATCGGGGGTCCCCACAAACACGAAAAAAGAGCGACTGTAGCCAAACAAGCCACATAAAACTCCCCATATTAGAAAACTGCTGGCTGGCTTCAAGGTGCAGTCCTCCGCAAAAACGGGCCTCTTGGGAGCGCCACCAAAATCATTACTTCTTGGTGCCAACACCCAGCGCTTAGGGCCCCACAGAGACACTTTTCCGGTCAAACCTCGCCAAAACACCCAGAAAGGCGAAAGCTTGCAGCAAACCTTTGATCAACAGCAAATCTGGTCGACGAAAAGGGGATGCTGAAAGAGCTACAAACAGCATCGGTCGAAAGTTTCGCCCAAGGGAAAAAATATCAGCCCGCCAAAGCCAAAAGGCCCGAGCAAACCGAGCTCCCACGGAACGAAAAAACGTCGTAGGCGAAAAGCACCCCTAGAAACCACAAAGACAGGAAGGAGACAACATCGCCCCAGAGGCCCCCTTGGAGCCTTGGACTCAGACTCAAACCCAGTACACAACTAATAAGTCTGCTAATCACCCTGGTCACTCAACTTTCGGCTCCTCACCCTCGGAGACAGCAGAGACAGTGTTGAAATGCTTGTACACAAACTGCCTCAGCCTTTTCAACAAACTCGGCGATGTTAAACAGTCAGCTTGCTTTGAACAACCGTCCATAATCGCACTCACAGAGACCT